GCAAGGGAGGATTTTCCCCCCTATGTATATTAGAAAATATTAAACCGGGAATGAGCAAAACCATTCAAAATTGCAGTGAGTAGAAGTGAATTTAATCATCATCTGTCCATGGAAATTTAGAACACCTTAGAAAACAGGCCTTTTGCAAAAACCATAAATGTCAGGACAGTAATATGCAAATGAACTCAGATGAGATGCTAGATTTTTTTTGTTTTATAGTTTTATGCAATATATATTCCTTTTTTTAAAAAACGCTGTTGGATTTTTGCCATTGTGACTGTTGTTTTTATTATTTATGCTGGATTTTTTCTGTGCCCAAAAACATATTACAATAATAACGAAAGAAGGAATAGATTTTTTAGGGCTTTAGTAATGTTTAGAAGAAGCCAAAAATCAGAACATTTTTCCAGCCTCAGGCTACATACTATGTATTTTGTATAGCAGGTGAGTATTGTAAGCCCATACACATCCCATGTGGAGCCAAAAATAGCAGAGAAACTTGTTTTTGTCAAGACCAACCCAACATTCTGAGTTTATAATTACATTTGAACTTACCAGTTTGTGGCAACGGCAGCCATACCCGCAGCCAGCAGTGTTTTTGCTGAAAATTGTCAAATTGACAGTTATTACAATCAGAATTGTCATTTTATTTTTTATTTTTAAATATTTCCTCTGTAAGCAAGAAATAATACCTAGACTTGAAAGTAAAGGATGATAGGTATCTTTTTTTCACATTTCTCTTGAGTATGCAACATATCCAACTATACCTCCCTGCACTAATACAAAATGCCCAAGAATAATGTTTTCAAAATCAATAAATACTAGAGTCATATACTAGACACCACAAACTCGTAATTGAAACTATGGGGGAAATGTAGGCAGACAGAATATAAACAAACTACCAGAGCTGGATTATAACCAGGATGCAAGAACTAATGCACTCTCTCTTGAGGAAACTGCTATGAGACCTTCAATGAATACACAGCTGTTGGAAGGCAGAATCTTTTCCTATCGAACCTGGCAGGTGATGGACCCGCAATGTTTTTGTTGTAGTTTGCTGGCTTGTTTGTTTGATATGTCAGTATGAAATGAAATCTGCAAGGTCCCATCTAACTCTTCTTTTATGCCTAGGCCTTCTCATATCTGTGAGACCATTTCAGTCACCCAGGTGAACTCACTTTCACAGTGTCAGTCCCTTTCTATCATACATACCCCCACCAGTCTCCTGGCTGAAGAGGTGGGGTGGGGAGGAATGTAGCAAATCTTGGAAAATCCCATCTCCTGTGTTAGAGGCTGCACAGTCTCTGGGGACCACAGAAGCCAGTAGCAGGGTCAGACTGCCACTTTCTACTCAGAATGAACATAATTATTAAATGTAATATCTTCCATGCATCTGATAGATCTGAAATGAGATTATATAAAAACAAAAATAGGACTGTTGGTGGCTGCATACATGTGTGTTTGGAGCAGGAGGCCCCTGAAAGGGTGTTAAGAGTTTTAAGTAGGGCCTTGGGGCTGTGGTCCTATTGCAAAAGTGTAGGGGAAATGACATAGGTATGTGGTGCCTGTACTTACAGTATTTTCCCTGCACATTTCAAATTGAAGAGCCACCATGTTGAAATATTTCTTCTCTGGGTGCAAGATCAGTAAAGTCCTGCAGCCTGGCACCTGGGCTGCTTCCATCTCCTCTACCACATATGTCTTTTACACACAGACAGGGTAGGATGCAGGGGATGTAATCGCACTCCCTTTCAGCTGAGCTGTGCATATGCAGTGAGCTCTCTGAGCTCCCTGGCTGATCAGCACAGCCTCCTGCAAGAGATCTGTAGGCAGGTAGCTCTCGGAGCTCACCACCTGGTCAGTGCAGATTCTTGCTGGAGCCACTGCTTTTACAGAGCTCTGGAGCCTGTTTATGCTTTCTCTTCCTGTGCCCCCAAATTCAGTGTGGGGAAGGATGTGGGGATGGGGGGGAGGCAGCGGAAACAGAGTGAATGGTAATGGCACCCACCCCCTGGGCTCCAGAGCTGAACAAAAGCCATGGCTCTGGCAAGATGCTGACCAGCTTCTGCGCTCAAAGAGCTACCTACATATGCAGCTCCAATAGGGGTCCATGCTGGCTGGCCAGGGAGCTCAGAGACCTCATTGCACGTCACAGCAGAGTTGAAGGGGGTATGTTTACATGCCCCTCTCTCCTCTCCTGGATACACTCATGCATGTCTGTACACAGGGAGATACAGACACAGAGAGATCATTTTGATTATGATTGGGACCTTATTTTTCTTCAAGGTATTCCTTAGTACTTAATGACTTTGTTTTACTATAGGCTTAGGCCAATGGATTAAATTCACTGCAAATTTGGATGATTACTTTAGGAACCTTTATAAATGGAGTGACTTACACCAGTTAACTGTGTGTGTTGTACTTCAGATTTTCTATTGAAGGTAGTTTGGGCTGATAGGAAAAATTAAAAGTAAAAGAGGTCACTCAGAAAACATTGCATATGGCTGCAGAAGAGTTTGGATGTGGAGCAATGAATTTAAATACAGGAGGCTTAGCAGAGCAATGATTGCTTGAAAGTTGTTAGCTTTCATCTGTGTGGAATGACACTTCAAAGGTTGAAATATGGTAAAAATCATTTGGTCTTATGAAACAAAGGGTTTCAGACTTGGGCAAAGGGGGCGAGAGGGCTCCTGTTAGAAAGTGGACCACAGTGCATTAATTTGTCCAACTTCTTATGATTCTAGCTGCATGAGAAATTAAATGTAACTTTGCCATTTAGTTACTTCTTACAAGCTGTATGGAACAGAAACTGTTTTACCTGAATTTATACTATGCATAATGCAGCAGAACCCCAATACTGTTTGGGACCTTTGGAACACTACATAGAATCACAGAAAATTAGAATTGACAGGGACCTCAGGAGGTCATCTAGTCCAACCCCCTTCTCATAGCAGGACCATCCCCAACTAGATCATTCCAGCCAGGGCTTTGTCAATCCAGGCAAAGGATCAAAGGATGGAGATTCCACCACCTCTCTTGGTAACCTGTTCCAGTGCTTCACCACCCTCCTAGTGAGAAAGTTTTCCTAATATCCAACTTAAACCTCCCTTGCTGCAACTTGAGAACACTGCTCCTTGTTCTGTCATCTGTCACCACTGAGGCCAGTCTAGCTCCATCCTCTTTAGAACCACCCTTCACATAGTTGAAGACTGCCATTAAATCCCCTCTCAGTCTTTACTTTTGCAGACTAAAGAAACCCAGTTCCCTTGGCCTCTCCTCAGAAGTCATGTGCCCTAGCCCCTGAACCATTTTCATTGCCCTCTGCTGGATGCTCTCCAACTTGTCCACCTCCTTTCTATAGTGGGGGGCCCAAAACTGAACACAGTACTCCAGATGTGACCTCATCAGTACAGAATAGAGCAGAATAATTACTTCCCTCAATCTGCTGGCAGTGGTCCTACTAATACAGTCGAGTATACTGTTAGCCTTCTAGGTAACAAGGTCACACTGCTGACTTATATCCAGGGCCATATTCATAAGGACATATTTATAACAAGGGGGGTGCAAATTGGGGCAACCGCACTTTGGGGGGCCCTGCAGAGCTGAGCCGAGAGGCCACGGCAACTCCACGCTGCTGCTGGCTTCATGTCCGGCCACTTGGCAACCCCCCACCCCCGCCACCGAGTCTGCTGTCAAATCTGGCACATTTGGCCACTCAGCACCTCCCCTCCCCTCCCCACCACCCCGACCCTGCCACTGAATCCACCTCCGGCTTCCTTGTGTCCCATGGAGGTGGGGCCCCACACGGGCTGATTTGTCCCAGGCCCTGCACTCTGCTCAGGTCATCTCTGCTCATATCCATCTTATTGTCCACTATAACCACCAGGTCCTTTTCTGTAGAGCTGCTGCTGAGCCGGTCAGTCTCCAGGCTAGGATTGATACATGGGATTTTTCCATCCTAAGTGCAGGACTTTGCACTTGTACTTGTTGAACCTCATGAGATTTCTTTTGGCCCAATCCTCCAATTTGTCTAGGTCACACTGAATCCGAGTCCTATTCTCCAATGTATCTACCTCCCCCCCCCCCCCCCCCCCCTGGTTGGTGTCATCCATGAACTTGCTAACTGTGCCATCCATCCCCATCTTCCAAATCATTAATGAAGATATTGAACAAAAGCGGCCCCAGGACCAATCCCTGGGCCACTTCACTTGATACTGACTGCCAACTAGATATTGAGCCATTGATTACTACCTATTCAGCCCAACAATCCAGCCAGCTTTCTATCTACCTTACAGTCCATTCATCCAACCTGTACTTCCTCAGGACCTGTGTCCTGATTCCTATCCTGTACCCTCATTCCAATGTTACTTGTGTAACATACACATTAAATGACAATAGGAAGCAAAAGCCCAATTATACTTGTAAAGGGAACTCTTCTGAATGAGCTGTCCCTCTAGTCTTGCAATATAGCAAGATTTATCTCTTCTATTTATTGTACCTCCGTTTGATTTTAAACAAAAATACAGACCAAAATCTGTACCTCTCAATTAAGGCCATGAATGAATGAATGACAATTTTTATTGATAAGATCAGAACGTGTGGCCAACTCTGTGTTGACACCAAGGCCAATAAAATTACTTTACAGAGGCCATCCTCTGGTAAGAAGAACCTTCATCAAATTTAAAATGTATGCTAATAATAGTTTAGCATTCCACTGCCTTTTATTTCAGGGCTTTTTGTTTATGTTTCTAATACACAATGCCATTAAACAGGCAAGATCCAAATGTATTCACAATCAAATACTTTGTAAATGATCTAAACTCAGAATAATTGGTAGTTTATTTTATTTTATTTTAATATGTCTTTGTGATCAATATCACACTTTGGGCAAAAGTTCGCTAGGTTATAGCTGCATAAATCTCCAGGTGCTTTGTGCTTGATAAATATTGCATTGTCTCTCCACTAATTCTCTCTTGCTCTCTTCCTTATATCTTAACCAGATTTGGGAAGAAGAAAGAGGATAAAGGGGGGAAAACTGACCAGAAAGGCAATCCAAAACACAACATTCTTAGAGAAGAGGAACTGGAAAAGATGAAAGAAGAGTGTGAGAGGTGAGTAAAATGTACAAGAGTCTCTATGGATTAGCTCTAGAATAGGACACCCAAGCCAGTGATTCCAGGCTGCAGGCAATGAAATGCTGTCTTAGCCTGCTGGTACTGGGTCATGTCCATTCAACAACATTAGGCTAGCCTTCTGGCTTTCGTTTCCTCAAGCTGGTGCTAGGTTGTTGCAAAACAGCCTCTTTTCTCCTTGACTCTCACAGAAATGAATGCTCTCCCTGCACAGCCAGCTTCAGTATTTCTTGTTTGGGATGAACCCTTACTCAGCACCAGTGGGAGGAGATTCTTTTGAGCTCTGGCTCTGTTTCTCTTCCCCTCCTTCCCAATATTGTATGAGCTGCTGCTTCTGGGACTCTGGGTTCTCTCTCTCCTTGCTTTTCCAAAGCAACTGTAGTAGCCTATGCTAAACCTCCAGGCTCTCTTTCCTTCCTCGAATTCCTATGGTGTTTTGCAGAGCTCCAGGACTCCTCTGACTTCAACTTGGCTGTAGTGTCAGTTAGTAGTTTTTTTATGCTTAAAGAACAAGTTTGGTAGATTCTTCTTGTGTTGTTTACTGAAGGTTAAAGGAGAAATTTACATCAGTGCCTAGATACACAATAGGAGTGTGCGAAACAGGCCATATTCAGTTCGGATTTGGATTCGGCACAAATTGGGGACAGTGATTCAATTCATTGATTTGGATCACTGTCCGAATTTAATTCAGCTGGATCTGAATCTGAAGATTCGATGCTAATTCAGAGAATCAGCAATTCAGTCACAGACACAGCCTTAAATGTTTTTTCTACATACCTTTAGGTACCAGGCACTCGTGAACGCTGTGATGGTGGGGCAGATGGAGTGTCCTGCAGGAGTGTGTTTGGGACTGCCTCCCATGCCCCACCAGCTCAGCAATCTGCCACAGGGGGACCCCAGGTGCCCTCTCAGACCCAGGAGGCACCAATTGCCAGGGCAGGGGGTCCCCCACACACTCCCTGGCGAACCCGAAAGTGGACCAGAAGTGTTTCTGGTCCACTTCCAGGTCCACTGCCAAGCACGCTGAGGACCACCCCCTCCCCCCCAACACACACATACAGTCCTGTGGGACGTTCCATCCACCCCAGCATCTCAGCATTCATGAGCTGCCTGGTACCTTTGAGGTATGTAGAAAAAACATTTAAAGCTGTGTCTATATCTGAATCATCAAATCTTTCTGAATCTCTCTGAATCGATTCAAAGGGTTCCAATTCAATTTGGAGAGTTTAAAGGGTCTTCTGATTTGATACAGATTTGAAGATTTGGCTGCCAAATTAGGCCAAATCTCTGCCAAATTGAAACAGTGACCAAAGCTTTGCACAGCCCTAATACACAATATGTTTACTCCACAGTGGAGCAAGTACACAATGCACAGTGCTTGCTACAAAGGAAACGCTGTTCTGCAGAAATTGGAAGTCAGTGAACTCCAGAGAAAGTTACTCGGGTACATGTGCCATGTTGTCAGTTTCATTCTGGAGCAGCCACTTACTCAATGCAGATTGGCTTTCCTGCCACCTGGTGGTTGGGTGCTGTAAGGCAATAAGCATAGGTGTCCAAGGCTAAAACAGATCCTGAGAGTATAAAGAACATTGCTCGCTCTCTCCCTCTCCCCCCCGCCTATAAATACACTTAGTCCCTGCACAACATCAGCAACTTTGTTGCCTTCCCAATGCAATAGAGCTAGTTTTTACGTCTCAGCACTTCTGTTTTCCTGAGTTTCTGCTCTTCAGAAGACTGGAAAAATAGGTAGGCCTGAAGGTCAGCAAACCTTTACCTTCCTGACTGGTGATAATTAGATATTGGATATAAATTACACTACTGTAAAGTGTGGTTTTGTTCCTCACTAGGGGCTAGTTTTTCATAAGAAGTTAATGAATCTGCTACAGCTGCCAGTAAGAGGATGTTGTCCTTTAGCTTAAGCAGTCTTGACATATAGGTCTAGTCTTAGTGGTTAATATGGATAACCCTGGAAACGGAGATGCACAGTAGGGTCCTCCTCTCTCGTGACTATACTACCCATTGGAGAACGGGGAGAAAATGGGCATCACTTATTCCTTGGAGTACATGGCAGGTAGCTTGTCTCTCTCTTGGCTGAAGGAATAGCCCAGCTTTTGTGTTGCTGATCACTAATCATATGAGGCATCCATCTCCTCTCATTCACTGTTGCCTACTTGGAGAAGTATTGCACAATGCATTTTTAGTGATTTTAAACAGAGAGCTGAAGAGATGTATTGGGGGAAAACCCTCAAATATCATTAATGATGATAATTCCACTCATTCAAAAATAGAGCAGGGTAGAGCGCTGATCTTGGATGTCCTACCCAGTGTTTCAGGAGATAGGTTATCTAAACTAAATAACGGCAGGGTGAAATTTATGCTTTAAAATTTCTATTGCGTGTCCCTGATTTTGCCAGAGAGTTGCATGCCTTCTTTATTTTAAACTGCTGCCTCCCAGTTTGTATGCTGGCAATTTGAGAGGTATGTGTCCTTCATTTTAAAGAAGCCAGTGTCTTTTATTAGGATACTGGCAAGCTAAGAAGTATGTCTCCCATCTGTTAAAGGGCCAGTGTCATTTACTAAAATGTTGGCAGACAGAAAGGAATGAACCCTTCAGTCTAAAGGATTAATGTTCCAGTTGGACACAACATAATTGTTCTTAGTATTTCTTTAGTGTTAACTGCTTTTTAAAGAAAATCAGCCCCTGATTGACAGTAAATTGGTACGGCTGAATTATAAACTGGCAGCTCAACGTCTGCATTGTTCTGATTTCTCTAATAATGATTTAAATGTGACCTGGAAGTGTTTTGAGACTGAAATGGAGAACAGCAGGTGGGCTGAAAGGTTGATGACCATAGATTATATTTTTAACTTTCTTATTTGATTCTTCTGCCACAATCCATAAGACTAGCATTTTCTCTCTGTTTTCTGTCAGTTAATTCTGCTTATACATTAAAAAAGTAAGAATATCCCCAAAACAGTGACAATGCACTATAAACATAAGCAGGTCATGTCAGTTCTCTAAATAAAACAAGAGTGTAGCATGTGTTTAGCAGTTAAAAGACTCTAGACAGACTGACTTTTGAACCCTATCTTGTATTGCTGATCACAAGGTTGAAATGACTTTATCAGCAATAAAGGAAAATAACATCTGGTTCCCTGTTCTATGTTTCAGTGTAAAAATTATACAAAGAGGTTGATTGAGATCAGCCAAAAAATGCGTTACCCAGTTCAAAGGAAATTCAATACTTTATATTGTTGTTGACTGTTCACCTGATGATGATACTCATGAAGACAGTAAAAGAAGAGTTTTATAACTGTGTCTGAAGATTAAGTAATCCCATAACATATAATGTAATTCAAGCTTTAGATTTTAATGCATATATTGGCAAAGAAAACCTGCAGTGAGTCCACACCATAGATCTTACTACTACTATGACTTCACTAACTGTAATTCTGCATACTTTATCTCATCTTTAACAAACTGAATTCCAATAAAGATTTACTAGAATATAGGCATCATATTTCCAAGTGAGTTCTTGTTGGGAATGAAGCGAATTTATGGCACAACTAACAAGCTATAACTGTGGAACAATAGACTACAAAACTATGAACAAAAAAAATCTAACAAATCCTATTTCTTCCATAAAACACAAATTACATTTCTAATACTGCCTTTCATAAATTATTTTAATTATGTATCTAATTTGCTCTTCCTGTGAGCAGTTATTTAAGTAATTTTTATTGAGCAGTCTTGATCCAATCCCTACAATAAGAAACGTAGTTTGGCTGCTTGCACCTATACGTCAATGTTCTTACATGCTTATTGTCTAGCTATTTAAAGGCTATATCACATTAATCAGTATCCATTCTTCTTCATGAATCAATGTATATATGCATACACATCTTCTCCCCTCACCTCTCTGCCCCCCCAGACCTTAGCTGTCTATATCAGGTGCTAGGCCAAGATGACAGAGCAGTTGATTTTTGGGGTGCATGTGACAGGATTAATGATCAAGGGTATTTCAGCATCCTAGCAGCTGTGGACTTTGCATGGTTTTGGATGTTAGTTTTGCATGCACTGCACATTTGGCATACCTCCAGCGCTAATGTCCTGTTTCAAGATCTCAGCTGGGAATATTTTCCGATAGGAAGTGCATTTCCAATTTAGAAGAGTAGCATGTCTTTTGGAATTTTGCAAGATGCAGTTTTTCCCATCTACATCCCATCCCCCTATAAATTAACATTTCATAAGATTCATTCGGCATCAGACTGCATATTTTAGCCTTAAAAGGTGAAACCAACCCCTGGTTTTGATGGAGGCAGGTAGATCCTATTTCCATTCCACACCTTCCTTTTGAACTTTCATATGCTACTCTCTCTATTTTCTTGCTTGATTCTCTGTGCTAGTTCCAAATTCCACACTAAAATGTTGTGCCAAATCTACATCATTATTACTTATTGTTTGCATTACCATAGCCTAGGAGTTCCAACCAGAAACAGGACTTCATTGCATGAGACACTGTACAAACACATAAGGGTCTGACCCTACCCCCCAACAGCTTATGATCTAGATAGAAGAGAACAAAGGAAATAAATAGTAACAATATCCCCATATTATAGATGGAAAGCTGATGCACAGATCAATTTAGTGATGTGTCCACGGTCATATTAGGAAGTTTCCGTCAGGACTAAGAATTGAACCCACAAGACTATCAATTCTTTTTAAAACCTGTCTCTTACCATGCAGTTGACACTATGACATGCTTGAAGTACTTAATGGGAAGTTGGGGTGTTGGTCCTTTTTTTTTTCGGTAATAGCCTGATCAGTATCCAATTGCTTATTTCAATTACAGCACCCCCTCTAAATTTTAGGGTGTTTTTTTTTCCTTTTTCCCTTCACATGCCTCCATGACTAAATCTTCACAGAAGAATATCAGAGCTACACAGTAAGATTGTATAAGTAGTTTTCCTTACCCTGC